TCTGCTGCACCGCTGGGTTGAAGGCAGTTAAGAGGGAAGCAGAAGTGGCTGCTTCGGATTTTGTTGCTGTAAAACTGCTAACCCTGTGCTCAGCGGTGATTGATGCTGCTCTTTGCACTTGGTAGAGGCAAAGTGTGTCGCTCCCTTAAGTGAAGTTGTATCTCGCCCCGTGTTAAGCGGTGGTGGTCAGCTGGGGAGTTCTCGCCATCAGCGCAGAAGCAGGGGAAGGCAGGGGCCTACCTGTTTTTGGATGCTGTAACGACCAGCCAAATAGAGCTTAATTTCTGAAGTGTAAGTATTGCGTTTACTTTGCAATAACTCCATTAAACTGGGCTACAGCGGGGGAGAAAAAGTACAAATTCTCCCCTTTGCTAAGGACTTTTAAGTCTTAGCTTGAGAATTGCTACTGCCGCTCGACAGGGTTTTCTCCGCAACGTGCTTAGTAAAACACGTCCTTTCTTCAGCCAGCCCGAGCGCTTGCTGCAGCATGCCGCGGCGACTGTTGCTGTGACTGTTGCACAGCAGCTTGTGCTTCTCGCAGCCGTGCAGCGCTACGGCATAACCAGAAGTTCCCTTAAGTAACTTGCCTTTGACTGATTCATCAGCCCTCTTCCATAAACAGGAAGCTGTAAAAGTACAAGCAGGTGATCCTGTGCTGTTGCAAACATAAATTATATCTGATTGCTTGTGTTTCTTTCCCTCCAGCTGCCTGCTAACTCTTTATCCAGGTGAAAAGTTATTTTATCAAAGAGCAGTTAACTGTTGGCAGTAATAAGCCTTTCGAGTTCACGGACGGGATTTAAAAAGACCTTGACTATGAGACAGAGCTCTTCCCTAGTCCTAGCGCTGCCTGCGCCGGTTTGGAGCGCTTCGAGACAACCGCTGTCCTCGGAGCACATCATCCTGCTGCGAGCCACCGGGGCTGTCTTAGAAATGTGAGCGGTCAAAAGATGGCCATAGCTGGCTGCTTGTAAAGCAGCCGCGTCCAGGGCAACGTTTTCCTGCTTTGTCCAGGGATTCATGGCACAAACATTGACGGCAGCGCTGCTGCAGCTGCTGCCTAGGTCTTAGTCCCTGTAAGGGAGTCACGACAGTGGTGCTCGGAGCTGAACGCAAGCTGCTGGAGCCGCCGCTGTGCCGAAATCCTCACGGATTCAGGAGGCAGGTGAGGTGCTTCGCACTGTGCTCTACACCTGAGCAGCAAGGAAAAGAGATCAATCTGGAAGGTACTCTGTGCTTCTCTCAGAGCGCAAAGTCAGAAGGGGCCGGGCCAAGTCCCCGCGCAGCGTGTCGCACGAGGCGGCTTGTGCTGCAGGCAAGCAGCAGTTCTCCTGCTTTGGCATCTCGATGCTGTCGGTGCAGCCCGCTAGTCAAGCTCGTCGTAGGATCCTGCCACCTTTACCGGGAAGCACAGCGCCCTGTCTTGCAAAGGCCTGACTCTGAGTTCAGGTGTGTCTCCAGCGTTACTAATGTGAGACAGTCCTGCCTTGTTGCAAGCCATCTGAGTCGTCTTTCCTGGCAGCACCGCAGCTTAGGAAATGGGAGCAGGAGAAGAGGGATCTTCCCCCGAGAGGCTAGCCTGCTTCCTTCTTTGGATTTCCACGCTGCAGTGCTTTAGTTCAACAGAGTGGCTTCCTACGTTGCCCTGACTAACGTATTCCAGGATTTGAGAGGTGGAGGCTTCCAAATAATCCCTGCTAATTTAGGGAATCATCTAATAGCAGAGTGGGTAATGTTGGCTGAAACACCATTTGTTTTGTCCGTCGGCGTTCAGCGTTACAACCGACATTGAAGGCGCTTCATGGATCGAAAAGTTCAGTGCACACCGTGTGCTGCTGCCAAGCAAAATACTCCCAAAGAGTGCCACTGTGGTCTGGAATAAACTCTTTTAATGTCTAAACATAGACTAGACAGCTTGAGGTCTGCTAGTATTTTAGATGGGACAGACACTTCCCCTCCGCCTCCCCCATAAACGCAGCAGTTCAGCGTCTGCTTTGAAGCCGTCTCCAATTACAGGCAGCACAAGGCTGGTGGGGTCTGGGAGGGTGCTCACATCTACCGCTTCGCCCTTCCCTTCCCTCTCTGCCAGCCTCGGGTAACGGTCTGTGCGGGATGATTGCAGGGGAGGAGGCAGCACCGACTTCGGTCCTCTTGCTCTCCCCTGTTCCCCACAATTATTTTCTGGTCACGGGTTGAGTCACTGTCAGGCAGGGCAAGTAGGTGACTTCTCGTGCTGCCTCTGCAGCAGCCGCATGGAGGCAATCGTAAAGCGGCCGTCTGAGGCTATCGTCTGGCTCCGACAGTGTGGCGGGAGCTAGCCCGCCAGATCGCCGCGTGTCACAGCCCCGTAGCGCCGCACCAGCATGAGCGACCCGTTACTCGGTGGCGGATTATTTTGGCCGTGTAGACAAATTTCCTCTGTGTCAGCTGCTGCTTTTACATTTCTAGGAAGGTTGTCTCATTGCCTTGGGTTGTTCCTGCTGGGGCAGCCAACTGCAATACGGTAGTCGTAGGGGCACAGCCTCGCTGTGCAGGTTGTCCCAGGCCAGGTGACAGGGACCTTAACTCTCCGAGATCACAACATTGCTGGGCACGGATGAAGGGAGTCTGGTGCCTGCAGCGCACAGCTGGACTGTGCCAGCAGTACTGGGTGTTTGCCGGGATGTAAAGGAGTCCCCAGAGCACTTGTGCTTTTGCAGGAGGAGCATCCTTGCCCCTCTGTGCAAGACTCAGTTTCATAAGGGTGCAACTGAGGTGCTCGTGGTGCACATAAAGGGGTTGTATTGCTGAAAGCGTACAGCCCCTGCTCAGCGCTGCTACATCTGGAACGACATCTCCCCAGGCATCGTTCCAGCAGGAGAGCATTGCTCTCTTCTTGCTTTCACGTTCAGCTGGGCCCTTATTTTGCAAGATTTTTATGGAAAACTTCATTTGCAACACATGCTATCAATGTGTCTCGTGCTTTTATATCCACTCAGCTAATTGACCTCGATTCTGTGTTCCTTGCTCAGCTTCCATTCAGTGCTTTGGCCATCTGAGAAACCCTCTGTCCTTTGCCTGGTCCTTGACTTCCCACCTACCACCCAGCTTAGGACTGTCTGTTGCTCTTACTTTCTTATTCTACTCTTTTGAGGGACACCCAATACGGAAAGTTATTCATAAGTGGCATAGATCTAACTTTGTGCAGTATTGAAAGTCCCTAATTACTGTTCTGAGCCTTGTGCAGAGGAACTCTTGACACAGATTGCAAGCATCTCGGGCAGGACTACGTGCAGAGTGAGAGAGCAGTGAAAGAAATAGATGAATAGTGAGGGTGAACAGCCAGGAGCTGTGCAGAAGTTGTTGCTGAGCAGTGTCCTGGTCCACCTCCTCTCTTACTAGCTCGTTGCGAATGTCGCATGTCAGATTACACGAGCTGGAAAACTTCTGCTCGCTTTCCAATCTGCTGAATGCATCTGAAAGAGCTTTCTGCAGACAGCGTTTCGTTTTCCCCTCTAGTCAGCAAATTAGTCTTTTTGTTTGCCCTTTTTTTTTTTTTAATCAGAAAGAGCCTGAAAGTGGCAGAAGAGCTTTAGTTAAGGGAAAGGAGAACTTGAAGCAGAATCAGGAAATGTTAAGTTGGTGTCATCATTTTAGAGCTCATGGAAGCCCTTTGCACGTGACTGCGTGCAGGGCCCGGTGCATAGAGGAGCAATCTTGCCGGTTGGGACGCTTGCCAACTTTTTAAGCAGATGCACAGCAGTGTGATGGTTTCATGTGTGATGCTAACCTCTCTCTCCCCCGCCCGCCTTGTTTTGCAGTATTCTCAAGTGCTGGGGCCTAGAACCGATGGCAGACAATGTCAACAACTAACAACATAGCACAGGCCCGGAAGCTGGTGGAGCAGCTCCGCATTGAAGCTGGCATTGAGAGGATCAAGGTGAGCCTGGGAATTAGGAGTAGACAGATGCATGACACCTTCGGTGGGCAGGAGCAGAGGGGGAGGAGGCTCTGCAAGTGCTTCGGGTCTTCCCTGGCTGTGCACGCTGCTGTGATGTCTCTGGCGCAGATGTTGCCGCACTTCATTGCAGAGACAGCTTCCGTGGGGCGCCTGTTGCATCCAGGAGGCAGGATTGCTGCCTGGGCAGCTTCTGGAGCATGCAGATGTCAGAGGTGGCTCCACGATCTGAGGGCAGACTGGTCATCTGAGTAAATTCCAGGATCTCAGCTGGGCACATGCAACCTAGGAGGGCACCTAAGGCGCCAGGTGTTAGGTGTGCTCATGTGCACGGCAGTGTCATTTCCCAATTTGTTCACAGTGTATCTCCACTTCTGTCAGTCTCTGCCTGGATAGCAATTTCTTAGCTGTTGCTATTCCCATTTCTTCAAAATGAAAAAATGATAGTGGCACACCTTCATTTCTGGTTTGAGGCATGTTTATGGTAGAAATATGGGAAGTTAATTTTGTGCTGCCGTTGTCTAGGATAGTAAACTGGAATCTATTCTCAGTCGTGTATTGGCACAACAGTAATCTGCTTGGGCAGCAAAGCATCCCTAGGAATAAAGCTTCCTTTAGCACTGGGGGATTGGAGCAGGTAACATGCCTACGACCACACCGCCTCACGAGAGCTGGAGCCCAGGTCCTTTAGGACACTACACTATTCTGGGAGCCTTCTCGGCGGTTGTGGTACCCGGGCGGGCTCATTGGGCCACGTGGGTTCTGGAGAGCAGCCTTCACTGGGGACGAATACTAGCGTGTGGGCAGCTAGTCCGAGGCCGTGATGCACTGTCACTCCCTGCCCACAGCTTCCTCACCTTCCGCGACGCTCCCCCAGGGCTATGAGCAAGACACCTGAGGGCACTCTTTGAATTTATGCCTGTTAAGCCACAGAAGAGCCGCACTTGTCACCGGGCTACGCAGCCGTTCCGCTGGGACTGTGGCTTTGTCTGCCTCGGTTTGCAGGGTCGGGCAGGCTGTAATTAGCCTTCTCAGCTGCCGGTCGCTCCCCGAGAACCTCCCTGGAGGGGAAGGAGGGTAGCTGGGTGAGAGAAGAAATCTGTTCCTGAAAAATCACTTCCTGTCAGTACGTAATGCAGAAGAAACCCCTGTGGATGGTGATGAAAGGCACAGTAAAACCGAAATACCGGTTAAATAAATAGGTATTAAATCCCCCCTGATATTTTATAATTGAATGTATCCTGACTGAAGAATGTTTTCTTTGACTCTCAGTCCCTACTTCTTCTGCAGCAACAAGTCCGTCGTCATCTCAGGTTTTGATGTGCAGGAGGAGCTGCTTCTGCTTTGAATATCTTTTTTTTAAACCAGCCTGAGGTTTTGTAGCTGTTTTTAGGGCCACCAGTTTCCAGACTCCAGTGATGCACCCATCAGAGGGGCCATTTTAGGGAAAACAAAATAAATTACAGGTCTTCCCCCAGCACAGACACTTAAGAATTACTGTGTCTCAACTCCAAGATCCCAAATTGTGCATGGCGAGGAGGAAGGAGGGTGTGTGTATACTTACCAGCCTTTGTAGATGTGACTATCTTAAACGCTTTACTGGGAAAGAACAACAGTGCTGGGACCGCAACATGCCACTGTTGAGGATGAGTGGAGAAGACGTGCTGTCTGAGTGAGCTTCAATAAAATCATAATCCACAAACCCAACTCCAAATCAGTGTGCCAAGCCCGTGAGCTACTAGAATATAGCATCAGATGAGTCCTCCTGCTTAGTGCTAATTCCTCCAGCTTCTCTCAATTCCTCACAGTTAAAGGACATGAACCATATGTTTGCCTGCAGATAAATGAACTAATACATGCCTGAGATGGGTGGAAGCAGGCTGCCCGGGGAGCTGTTACTAGAGCTTTGCAGCAGTGATAGCAGTGGCAGGCATGAGGAATGCCCTCTGATTGCTTCCTTGCAAGGTCTCGTTGGACAGTTATTCCTCCACCCCGCTCCCCGCTAGCTCCTTGTCTGTGTGGCTGAGGCCTGGGAGTGAAGGGCAGTAGGGAACAAATGACTTCAGACGGGGCTTGATACTGCAATCGAAACACAACCCTGCCCATGCACCGCGGTCCTCTCTTAACCTGCCCTAAGTAGGCTGCACGTCTGTTAGAAAAGGGCCAAACGTTTCCTAGCGACTGCCTTTCCCTTTGGCCTTCATTCATTTTAGCTGGTAGCTGAAGCTTTAAGAGGTGTGTGGAGGTTTTCAGGACACTTACTCTCATAACAAGTTCATCCATGCTCCTGGCAAGCTAAGCTCTTTCCCCTTGCTTTGCTCTGAGATTAGTAGTAAGTGCTGTCTTATGTGAGTAATAGGTTTAAGCTAGAGGCTTGACCTTGTCTCTGCAGAACAGTTGTGCTGGTGGATCCCACTGAGTTTGATCAGTATGTTTTAAGTGCTGGCCAACAGCAGCTGGTGTTAGCAGCCTGCATTACTGGTTAGGACCTCGATACTTAAAAGTACAGTAGTATCTAGAGACTCCAGTAAAAGTTATGCTGGCTGACACAGGGTGTGGGCCTGCGTTTCCAGTAGAAAAGAAAAAAGTGGAGGAAGCCCGTATTATTTTGGTGAAGCACCGATTAAGTGGTTTGCCCAAAGCTGCAGAGAACTGCAGCTTGCATTGGTTTGGTCACCCATGCCGTTTCTCCTCATCGCTTTATGCTCTCAGTTGCTGCTGAAAGGTTTAGTAATTATAGCACAAAACTACACAATCTTTTTGTGCAGGTTGCATCACTTTGCAGGCAGCAGCAGGTGACGCATATTGCTTACGTGCCGCGGCACCCTGTGTGAAGTGGCACAGGAAAGCGATTCCCAGTTAGTGCAGGACACAGAACTGGGAAGGCGCAAGCATCCCGTGAGAGTGGCAGAGCCAAAGTGGCGTGACCTCTGCGGCTACGAATCGTTCCTAGTGGGGCCTTCCTGCTGTGTGGTTGCATGTATGTTTTATGTTTGCCTTATGTTCAACCAGCTATTAAGTTAATAGCAAAGGGTTTGCTCTTAGTCTCCAAAGCTTCGGGAGCCTCCCTGCCTTGGCTCTTCCCAAGCCTCCCGCTTTCCTAATTGCCAAAACATGCAGCCATGTAGTTCGCCCACCACCTAGATGCTCCACTTGGTTGTGTTGCTCTGGGATCAGAGTTCCCAGAATATATCTTTGAACTAAAATAAGCAGAGCCTTAAGTAATAGTTTCTAATGGTTTCAAAAATCCACTTTTAACATCAGAAGATGGTTGCTTTCAAGCAGGCATTTTTGTTCTTTCTTTTTTATCCCAAAGCCCTTAAAAATGAGAACAGGAATATCTTTCTTTTTAGTCTCTTGCTCTCTGCTGAGAGTGTTTTTCCCAGACTCATCACTTTATTTATGTCAGACCTTAATTTTTTTTTTCCGTATTCATTTCCCCTTTTTATTTCTGGCCATCTCTGTAAAGTTGCTGTTACGAAAATTGGAATGTTATGTCTTTTTGTCACCACCGAGCCCTTCTTGCTTCCTCCTCAAAATGCACTTTAGACTTTCTTCTAAAATTTGTATGCAGTCAGTTAGTTGTTTGTTCTGCCTGGGCTGAGCTTCCTGGCAGGCTCTGTGGGTTTACCTGAGTATTCTCGTTAACGTTATTCTTTCTTGGAACATTTAGGTCTCCAAAGCATCTTCTGAGCTAATGAATTACTGTGAGCAACATGCCAGGAACGACCCGCTGCTGGTTGGAGTGCCTGCTTCGGAGAATCCTTTTAAGGACAAAAAGCCTTGTATCATCCTATAGCTTTCCTCGCTCTGGCGTGCGTGATCTCTCAGGCAGGGCACCGTTCTGTATCCACTGAAACCAAGTTACAAACTTACAACTGCGCCGAGGGGGTAAACACTAAATGTTGGATTCAAATAGAACTTAAATCTCAAAAATTGGAAGTGGTTTAGCAAAGGGTGTCTGCTCCTGAGCAGGTTCCATATTGAGAGGGGTTAAAATTTAAAAACAAACAAACAAAAAAAACAGGGTTGAGGGGTGGGGGGGTGCATTTTTAATAGTGACATTCTCAATTGGTATCAGGGTGGTGGAGGAAGTGGATTTTTTTATTGCATTTGCCAATGGGTTGCCAGACCTGAGTACTGAGATTTCACCATTAGAAGCTTTGAACAAAGCTCTAGGTGGGTCTGACTCGGTGGTTGGCTTCCGATTCCAATTAGCACATCGTTTCCAGAATTTCAGTCCAGTTGCTCTGTCTCTTGAGGGAGGACGAGGGAGAAGAGACCAGGTGGGTAGCTATTTTATAGAAAAATAATAAAAAGAACCAAAACACAACTTAAAAATTGCTATTGCAAATGACTAAATTGAGAATTAGAGGAGGAGGGATGGAGGCAAAGTGAAAACTTGCATTGCAATGAAACAGGGAAACTTCCTCCATGTAGCGTGGCATGTGGTTCTGCGGCATCAACTCACCATATGGTATTTGTAACAAAAGAATCGCACTGTGGGGAAACACTTTGTGGAGTAAAATCCATCAGCCATGAGAATTTCTGTGACTCACGTTAGGAAGTACTTGGCCCAAGGCATGGGAAACGTCATTAGGGTTTAGGTCCTCTGATCACTTCTGGGGTTTTAGTTCTCTGTATTGTTACTGCTGTTTTTTTTCCAAACAGAACTGCTTTGGGGGTGGGGGGAGGATGCTGTTTGGCTCTAGGGGGAGGAGAGGGCTTTTCTGTAGTGCGGTATCCAATGAGAAATATTTTAAATAGGCCTTGTGGAAATTCTCAGTCCAAAACACTAAAACTGGCAGAATTACTAGTATCTTCCCATCTCCCCTTTTCTCATTGAGCTTGGCTGATGGAAATAGTTCCATTAAAACCAGTTAATTCGGGGAGATGAGGGTAAGACTGTAGAAAACGTATTAAGCTCCGTTCCCATCCCTTGGCAGTCCTGAAACGCTGGTGCGATTTAACGGGGAGCTTTTTGTTCACCAACATAAGACGCACGCACTGCAGCGTGGGAGGTGAGTCCGCGCGGCGTAGCCCGTGCGGGAGAGGGGCAAAGCCGGCGAGGCCTCCTCGCGTTGCCTGCCGCAGAGCGTGAGCGATGGGGAGCGCCGGCTCCCTGCGGGGGGCCCGGCGGGGGC